AAGCAGAGCCAAGCTTCGGAGCGCGTGGGCAGCGGACAGCCCTGTCCGCTGCCCACGTGTTCTGCAGCTTTGCTTCCTCTCCCTGGTCTGCTGGAGACCAGGGAGAGGAATGGCCCCGTTCGTAACTGAGGATCCGACGTAAGTCGGATCCGCGTAACTCGGGGACTGCCTGTACTTTTGTGTGTGGTATAAAATAAATAGGAAAGCGGTTGAGGTTTGTAGCTGTACTTGTATGACCGCTCTAAACGGGCGTTTGTTAGTCTTTCAGCAGAGCTTCCTGCATCGGAGGGGCCTGAGGAGAACAAGTATTTGCCTTTTTTTTATCTTCTCCCAATTACAACTTGGCGCAGGAATTATCAGCTTAAAATTCAAATCAAAACGTCCCAAGGAAAATGGCCTCAATCACCAAACCGCTTGTTTTAAAGCCGTCACTGAGGCAAAGCCACCTTCTCTCAGCTCCGGCACCTGCCCCCAGCCTAGGGGAAATGGGCTGGGCACTAGGTCCGTGGAGGGAGCTCTGCTCCACTCCTTGGGCCATTGGGCTCTGCCTCAGTCACTCCTGCGGCTACAGTTGGTTTCATGGCCACGGCCTGGTCCTGGCCCCTCCCTGAGGGGAATGGCCTGGGGCACTGTGTGGTGGCAACCTCTCCTGTAAGCCCCCCGTTCAGGGCAGAGTATCGGAAGCCCCTCCAGATCGGTGGTGCATGGTGCACTGATGCCTAAACGGATTCCTCACATCCTGCCCCGGGACAGCTCTGGTTCTGTTACATCATACGCTCTCAGAGCCCTGGAAGAGCATAGCAGGATTTGCCCTTTATCCTGTAAATTCATGAGCAGAAGAGGCATCCACAGTCGGAGTCCTGTAGGCGGGTCTGAGGAGCAGTCCACCAGCTGCCGTGAGGACCCTCTGCCTCCAGAGGGGAAGGCCAGCTTCTCCCCACGAGCCCCCTGCCAAGTGCTTCCCCGGAGCATCCTGCTTTCTGTGGCCATGGGGAGGAGCCTGGGGAGGGATAGTGAGGAGCTGGCCCAGTTAGTTTGAAGCTGAGGGTGAGGCGTCCAAAGTGCTGTGTCAGGAAAGAGGCTGAGAGGTGAGGCTGGATTCAAGGAGACAGGTCAGGTGTGGAGAGGTTGATTTACGAGCGATTGGCTTAAAGTTGGTAGCAAAAGCCACGTGAGTGGCTACAATCACCTAGAGAGAGGAGGAGTGGGCCAAGGACAGAGCCTTTCAGAACAGTTCCTATTCCTCATCTATATTTTCAGACTAACTTGGCTACCCCTGTGAAGCAATATTTTCCCGCCCTTCAAGATTTGAGTGTTCTCCTCTGTGTCTTGGCAATGTGTTGACAAGCTGTAAGATTTCATTTTGCCCCACATAATTGCTTGTGAAAGGTTCTCGTGTCCCAAATGTCATCAGGCCAAGAAGGAAACGGCACAAGTCAAGGTCCTGGAGAAGTCCTCGAGATACCCTGCCTAAAGAGCCAGGAGACGGACCTCAAATGTTGTCACTTATACAGCAGGCTGCTCAGCGGACGGGGCAGCCCACGTGAATTGGAATCTCTCAATTGAATGTGCCTTTTGCAAACAGGAGACGCAGCTGGCTACACGACCACTTTGGATTGTTGCTTAGAACGGGATGTTCACCTTGAACACTGGCAAGGAGCCACCCGAATGGCGTCACTTGGGAATTAGGCACCAGTGTACTTGCTGGGATGACACATCTCTAATACCCTTCTGGGAGGGCTGAAGCCTGTCTGGCTGCATTTTAATGAGTGTGACCGCTCTTTTGTCTCTTGTGTGTGTGTGTAGAGAAGCAGAAAAGAGGTACTTTGTCAGCAGGCCAGAAGCCAAGGCCGGGATAACTGCATAGCTCCTTCTTTGCTGATACGATAAGCTCTTACTGGATCTTAATAAATTAAATCTGTACAAATAGGCATTCTGGACAAAGGTTGGGTGGGAGAAGCGGAGAAGGCCAGTGTAGGTGGAGCCCTGGTTTTGGTTTGTTGCTATTTCCAGGACAGAGCTGCACATCTTGGTTAATCTCTGCTCTGAGCCCAGGGACTAAGCTATGGACTGTGTCGTGCCCAAGGAATCCAACTGCACCTGGGCTGTAAATTAAATCTGTACAAATAGGCATTCTGGACAAAGGTTGGGTGGGAGAAGCGGAGAAGGCCAGTGTAGGTGGAGCCCTGGTTTTGGTTTGTTGCTATTTCCAGGACAGAGCTGCACATCTTGGTTAATCTCTGCTCTGAGCCCAGGGACTAAGCTATGGACTGTGTCGTGCCCAAGGAATCCAACTGCACCTGGGCTGT